CTTTTGGCTGGAAGCTGAGAGCTGAGAGCCCTCCAAACCAACTGATCATAAGGTCCATACAGAAAAACACCGCATTTACAAGGAAAGATTGTTCTTCTTTACATACTTTCCTTCAAGCACCCACAAGTGATCCATATAGTTATGATACTATTCCCAGAAATAAGCTGATGCAAATGCATCCTATGGATTTCCCCATAAATATTCAGGCCCATTGCCATGTGCATGGCAGCTGTTTCCTCTGACATATATGTGGCAAGTAGCTCAGTAAGCAGGCATCTTTGGCTTTCAAAGCAGTTGCAGCTGCTGTGAAACATCTTTTTTCTTTCAGGCAGCCTGTACACCATGAAAGAAATAGTAAATTGACATGTCATGATTTTATACTCTGTTAATTACTTTCTTCTTCTCCTCCTCTTCCTTCTTCCCCACATTAAATAATTAGAGATCTAGATTTGAAGAAGCCGATCTATCAGAAGACTGCCTGTTACGGTCACTTTGGAAGAAGTGAATTTGCTTGGGAAGTACCCAAGAAACTGGCTTTTTAATCATCTTGGGCCCATGGATTTCATTACAAAGGGTGCTTCCATTGACCATCATCTACGTTGAGAAAATAGAAAAAGGATCTTTTCTTAGAAATTACCACCATTTGTATTCTCAGCTTCTCAACCCACACAAGATAAATATGCAGAGGGATACCATTTTTATTTCTCCTTTTGCTGCTATTTTTTTTGGTTCTGCTTAGAAAGATGACAGAGAACCTGGTCTCCCAATCAAACACTACAATGCTGACTACAGCCCAGTTCCTCTCTCTTCTTATAGTCAAATGGGAAACTAGATTCCCTCAGGTTCATGAAGCTTATTCATTGTTACTGGACAATTAGATATTCCGTGGACCATTTTTCTTAATGGAGGTGGTACTGCAAGGACCTGGTAGGCTCTTGATGTGGAGGATGATTATTGGCCTATAACTGAGTCTTATCCAAAGGGTTTTGTCAGGCTTTAAATATTCATTTCCAGCTGTCTGATATTACAGTGATTTTTTTAAAAAAGTAGAAATGTTTACCTTTCTCTTTTGTAACAGCTTTGTGACAAAAACATTCAGAATGGTACATGCCTGGTGCCTTTTATATATATGCTTACATAACTGGTAAAGTTGTTAGAGCCTATTCCAGGCAGGGCTATTTTTAATCTTTAAAAGGAGAGGGGAAAGCAAAAGAAAACTGTTGCTTGCAAGATGCTATTGGTCAACCTGTTTGATTTCATGGTTGTTCATGACATTCCACATCAGAGTGTGAAGCTGTTGCCAATATAATTACTGAAATGATGTGGCTTCTGTGAGGGAAGTGAAATGTGAATGGTAGAATGGAAGGAGAAACCGCACAAAATCTTGGAATAGAAGAGGTTGTGTGGTGTTAGCAAAAAGGGGTAATACAATGAGAGAGTCAGGCAAAGAGCCTAGAAAGCAGAGTGGGAATAGGGGCTAGAGGCAAGCCAGATGAAGGAGATGATACAGACAAGGCAGTAAGCTTTAAAAAACAGAGAGAAAAGTTTTATTTTAAAAAAGTCAGAAAAAGATTGAGGGGCAAAGACTTGACAATACACTACACTAGTACTTCTTAATCTTTCTGATGTGTGGGGCTGGCAGGGTTTATCCCCATCCAGTGTGCCAAGGACTAGCACCATATTTGTGCCCCTGTTTCTTTCCCTGCCTGACAGAGGACCAGCACCCAGTAGCTTATAGACTGGCACTGGGTACATGGACCACCACTTTGAGCAGCACTGCACAAAGAAAAGGAAACAAACCATCCTGCCTTACACCATGAGGGAGAGGGGATAGATCAGGGTTGAGGATGGTGCTGTCCTTTGGATGTTGTTGAACAGTAAGTCCCAGCGGCACTAGCTAGTGGTGAGTATATCCTCCAACAGATTAAAAAACAGACAGTATAGCCAAGCAACATGAAAAGTGTGGTCAAAATGGCAAAATCTATTAATGTGGAGGAAGACACAATAATACTAATACTAATACTACTACTACTAATAATATTTATTTCTAACCCGCCCCTCTGCTCAGCAACCAGGGCGGCGTACAACAAAGTTAAAACAGATAACAATTTAAAATTCCCCTACTCCCCAATTCTTAACCCCCCCCTTAAAATGAATTAAACTGGTACGAAATTAAAATGGCTGTGCAGAATAAAAAACAATCAAAACCCATAAAAACAAACAAGAGCAGGGGGAGGCCACAGGGTCGAGTAGCAAAGGCTGTAGCAGTTTGCTTTTATCTGAACCTACTGGGAATGGCAAGAATCCACTCCCATCACTCTCCTCCCTCTCCTTTAATTGAGCGTGAGCTACTTTTGCACATTGAATTCAGTTTATAGCAATTGAAGGAACCTGAGCACAAAGGGAGAAAGTGGAAGGGGGGCAGAGAAAATGGGACATTTTAAAAGCAGCTGAAAAAATGGGATGACAGAGGGTTAATCAGGACTGATCCTACCAAAATTGGAACAGTTGGAGGTTATGGATGAAGAATTCTGGAAGTTACAGTTCACCAATATCCAAGGGATATACGGTACACACCCCTGGGATAGATGAAGGCAATGTTTATGGTCCAGAGGGAACACTAAGATTAAATATTAGTTATGCAAGGAGGGTTAGGGGTATTTGGGCTGTACTTTAGCCAAAGGAAACTTTGATCCAGCACCAAATGGATGCTGGGAGGAAAAAACCTCCACACATATGAACTTTGAATAGGGGACTGTGGGTCAGGGAGGCAGGAGAAGAGAAGCAAAGCAGCTGGGGGGGGGGGAGTTTGGATTTTTTTCTTTAATGGTACCATTGCAAGGGCAGAGGCTATGCAAGCACAGCTTCCCTCACCACTGCTGCATTTTTAAAAAGTTGGGCTCCAAGAAGCCAAATGACATCTGAGGCAGGGTTCTTGTCCTTGTAATAGCTGTGTAGAAGATGGAAATTTCAGGAGGTGTGGATTGTCAAGGCTGCACATTTTGCTGCATATCTCCATTCCTACAGGAGCTAAATATATATATTTTTAAAAAATGAGAGCTTGGACTTGGGGCCAGATGATGGTCACAAAAGCAACATCTGGCAAAACTCCTTTTTCTAGATGACTACTAAAAGGAAATGAGCCCTGTTGTTTATTTTACCTGATAAACTTAGTCAGGATGCACCTAGAGAATTCTCAATCAGCTGGAGATCTAAAAAGAATGAAAGCTCTGTTTGGAATGGGATATGGCAATTTTGTGTATCAGAATGTAGCATCTTATCTCAGTAGTTTACTTTGTTATGAAAAGCACTATGTACATTGAATGGTGCTATATAAATTATTATTATCGATCCTCTTTAGCTGGAACATATCACAACCAAAATCCAATCACAGTTATCTTGAGTGCAATTTGCTAGCAAGGCTGTTTTTCAGTTGTGGGAAATTGCTACCCCTTTCAGTGCCTTTGTGGATTCCTCTCTTTGCATCAAGAGTTTAGTAGTTTATTTTCTATAGATGCTTTCCCCCATGTGATTTTTAGAATCTGTTAGCATGTCAAAAGAAATGTACTGATTTGTCCCTGATTATTATAAATTTCAAAACCACTTAAATTTTATAATAGGCACTGGGATATCATCATTGTAATACAAAACAGGCAAAGAGACTTCACCCTTCCGAAAGATTCAAGAACCTGTTTGTTGGGAAGGAAATAACTGAACCATCCAGTAGATGGTGGTATAATCCATGTTTGACTTCTTCTAGGAAAAAAAAAAGTTGACTTTCAGAACATCAAGTTCTTAAGTAGCTGAAATTGTGTTCTGCTTACGGTTGCCACTACTTTTATGAAATGCCAGCAATTTTCTTAAAACAACCCAGCAGCTAACCAGCAAACTGCAAGGTACTTTATTCAAATGACAATATTCATTAGTGAGTGATGCTTTGAAAGTCAATAGAATGGTTCCCCCCCCTTTTTTTTTTTTAAAGACAGGTTTGACAGCTGAGATGAATTCATCATGGTATCTGAGGAATTTTCTTATAAGAAGAAGGGGATGTCTTAGTTTTCATACATGATACCAGGACGTGGGAGAGTTATTGATTTGCCATCTCTTAGGGCAGCTTATTGTGGATAGGGAGAAGGAAGAAGGCCTTGGCATCTTATTTAGACTTTGGGCTTAAATTTGGATCAACAGTGCTTTCTTCTTGTGAAATTGTAATTCAGTCTGTGAAGGAAGCTAATGAATGTTCATTAAGGTTTTCCAGACTACCTTAAGGAGAAAGCATGGCAGTTTAATTGCTATATATATACATATATATAAAATTCAAAGCAAAGTAAGCAATAAAGACAATTTGTAGATGTGCTTTCAGGTCCAGCCATCTCCACAGCCATATTGGTTCTAGGATACATACAGAACCATACATACAATTCCTAGAACCATTTCTAGAAATAGTAGTTAATTGAACCACTGAGAACTCTCCATTATAACACCCTAATGCCTCCCCCACAACTAAAGTATTCATGGTTTCGTAACATCCTTCTCTTCTGGATGTGTGGACCACAATTCCCATCACCCCAAAGTTTGGAAAAGGCTGCTCTAGAGAGAATCTAATCCACACTCATAGCAATTTAATTGAACACAGCTAGACCTACTTTCAAGCAAGTGTGCATAGGTTTGAACTTTAAGACTTCAGTCCTTTATGCACTTACCTAGGGATAGGATCCACCAAATTCAGTGGGACTTAACTTCTGAGTTGAAATGTATAGGCTTAAGATATAAATTTACAATATGGATGTGGTTACAATGTTTCATCTCTAACAGCTTGTATCCATATCAAGCTGTTGTGTGTTTTCAAGTCATTTCCAACTTATGGTGATCCTATTGCAAGGGTTTTGTTTTTGTTTTTGTTTTTTTGGCAAGATTTGTTCTGAGGAGGTTTGTGCTTGCCTTCCTCTAAGGCTGAGAGACCATGACTTGCCCAAGGTAATCTGGGAGGGGGGTTTCCATGGCTGAACAGGGATTTGAACCCTGGTCTTCAAAGTCCTAGTCCAACACTCAGACCACTACTCCATCCTCATTTCTAAAATTAGTTGCTGTTTAGATGGATACCTACTGGTCTCATATTTTTTTTTTTTTAGTCACTGAGTGATCCTAAGTAATATTTTCGATGCTAATGATGTTCTCTCTGGGGGAAGACAAAGGCTAATCACATTTTAACAAAAAGTGGTGTGAAGTAAGTGGGAATGTCAGTGGTTGTAGTCTTTTTTACCTTCCATGACGGGTCTGCTGGGAATATGGTCAACCTACAATCTCTCTCCCAGAAACAACATGCTTGGGATGTTCATTTCTTCTGTTAGTAAATGCTGAATTTGCACAGTAATATGTAAGCATGATTTTTTCCAGTAGGTTTTATGGAATGTGTTCGATACTGTTGTGCTTTGGGTGGCAGCAAAGTGATTCTGAGGCCACTTCTTGCTTCCTAAAAGGGAAGGAGAAAAACTCCTCTTAAGGGCCATTGCAGACTGCCAGAAATAGTGCAAATTGAGTCCACTTTAAGGGTTAGGGTTAGGGAATCATGGGAACTGTATTTGATTGTGGCACCAGAGCTCTCTGACAGAGAAGGCTCAATGTCTCAGAAAAAAAACACCCAATTCCCATGATTCCCTAGCACTAACCCTAACCCTTAAAGTAGACTCAATTTGCACTATTTCTGGCAGTCTGCAAAGGCTAGAGAAGTGTGAAATTAGTGGAGAGGCAGCGACTTGCCAAACTGGTGCACTGGGAAAGTTGAACCAGGCAAAATCTTGCTAACATTGAGATTCAATTGAAGAAATTGCTGTTATCTGAGAAAGTGTGTATTCCACCCACACACCCACACTTTTTTGCTCAAAGTGCAGAGGTGCCTGGTGCCTTCAGCAAGGGAGGTGGGGGTCTCCCTTACAAGTTCTTTTCACTGTATCTTACCTTGGTTCCACCTACCCAAAGCTTTTCATGATAGCTCCTTTCAACAGAGTCACTTGGTTGAAGCCCTTGCTCTCAGCCACACTAGCCACAGATTGGGACATTGTCATTCAAAGGCAGTATGCCCTTGAATGCTAAATGCTGGAAACAAAAAAGAGGCACTATTGCCCTCGTGCCACCTTTTAATTCTACATTAGTGCAGTATTTGAATGCAGTAGTATGATGGTGTCCATTTGCAGGGTGGAAAGTATACAGCTAGAGAGTGGGAAGGGAAGAGAATACTATTCTGAGTCCCAACATTGCATATTGTTCTATTGTGCAAGGTGAAAAGACAATAAGATTTTCTCTCAGGTTTTGTACATTTGAGGGTGCTTAATGGTACTATGAATCAACAGAAATTGTGCCACAAATCATGCGCTTCACTTTTTTTTCAGCGGGGATGGGGGTTGAAGGAAAACGTTTTGTACTTCAAACTCTGGCTAAAGTTTGCAAACTCTCCTACCTATGCAGTTTCAAAAGTCAATAAAATATATGACAAATCCACGCCTCTCTTTTTCTTTGTTGGTGGAATGTTGTGACAGTGCTAACTGACACATGAGCCTGCTAGCAAGTCTGGACAAGCCCTTCTTTGTCAAAATAAATTCTCTATTGCTTATTTGTTTTGCTGTCCTTTCCACTGGAAGCCACAGAGCATGTCTCAAATTAAACATGGTGTGTTTGTCAGGCTGTATGTTCAGAGAAATGTCTGTTGTGTAATGTGGGTAGCTTTGTCTTGCTTTATGCATACACTAACATCAGGCAGAAAGCAATAAAATCAGTAATGCTACTGCTACATTGTTGAACTAGGGAAGGCTGCGGCATGTCATAGAGACTTCAAATACAAATCGTGTGTGTGCCTGTCCTCCATTGCAGTTTCAAAGGTGGGATAGTATTTTAATAAGTAAGCCCATTTCTCACTTGCATGAGAGTGGGTTGAATGAAGCAATAGTAGGTATTTCTGTATCTTGCTGTTCTCAGAGGATGTTGTGTAAAAGTACTTGTCCCATTTGATAATGAATAATCTCCCCCCCCCCTTCAGTACAGTACATTTAACTTGTCATATGAGGATTATGAATGGTCTTGGGAGGGAGTTCTCTGACAAGGATACCAGCAGTCAAAAAGGTTAAATCCTGGACAAAATCTGGACTTTGTTATAGTCTAACATGGTGATTCCTAAATTTTGCTCCTCCAGTTGTTTTGGATTTCAACTCCCATAAGCCCCAGCCAGCTTGGCCAATAGTCAAGAATTCTGGGAGCTGAAGCCCAAAATGTTTGGACAACCAAAGTTTGGGAACCAATAGTCTAAGACATATAAAGCCCTTAACATTTCTGTCGAGAGATTAAAAGAGGAGACAGCCCCAGTTTTCAGAATACCCACAACACAAGGAAAAATGAGAAGAGGACAACAGCTGTGTTGTGCCCAACTGATGAGTGAAGCCAGGTTTGTTTTCCCATGCTACACAATGTTCTTCCAGGGAGGCAGCTTCTCAGAAGTCCCTTGGCAGGTGGTGGAAGCTTGAATATGTCTTTTTGCAGCTCCTCAGGATAGTCACGTCTGAGTTGTTTATTTTCCCAAAAAGAGAATTATCCTTTTGCCTGTATATACCTTGAGCAGATCTTATAAATTTAAGGCCAACTAAGTCACACACTCTCAACCTCAGGGGAAGGCAATGGCAAACCTCCTGAGAACAAATCCTGCCAAAAAAAACCCCATGATAGATTAAGGTCACCATAAATTGGAAACAATTTCAAGGCACACAACACAACACTATATACTATCCCACACAAGGGAAGGCTGAGGGGATAAACCTCCTTCAAGGTTCTCTACTGATCTTTCTTTCCAACTATGGCCAGGCTTCCTTCTCTTGTATTCCAAAGTCTCTGTGGCTGGTCCAATCTTTTCTATCCCTCCTCAGCTCAGTAAGGCCTACCTGATTCATCCCAACCTACAATGGAATAATGTCTCTTTTCATTCACCTATCCTTGCATGGAGTTGTTTTGAGGTCAGGGCCCATGCTCAAGACTTTTTCTGCCTGAGACAAAGAAGAAAATTGTGCCCTTGCCATTTTCAGCAAAAGGTGCTTAGTAGCCAAGCCCAACCAAGTTATTTTGGCACCTAAAGCAAAAAATTCCTTTTCCCTGGCAGTAATAATACAATGATAAATTAACAAGTTGCTTCATTTGTATAACACTAAAAATATATTGCCTGAAGCAATTGCCTCAGCCTACTTAATGGTAGGGCTAGTCCTGCTTTGCTTAAGGTGGCAGCAGCTCACAACCAACAATGTGCCTGTCTCACCTGCAGCTATTTCTCCTATTTCTAGTAGTTTTCAATCTTTTTAACTCAGTCCATTGCCTCTGAATTCCAGCACAATGTCAGTGATTTGGCCAGACTACCCTGCAGCAGTAAGCCTCTAGTAAATATAAGGTATGTACTTAAGATAGGCTTGACTTAACAGTGTCTCCATATCTGGTTACTATGATCTGATAATTTTAGGTTATTCTGCCCCCTCCCATTGTCATTCTCATCCAAGCATAACAGAATAGCAGTCTGAACACTGGTTGACTATGCAATACAGGACTGTCTCAGGACATTTTGCTACCTGAGACAAAGCAGAATCAAAGTACCTATTGCCCAAAGTGAACCAAATTATTTTGGCCACCCAACCCCCCATCCATCTCTTTCCCCATCCCTGTCAATATAAATATGGTAACAACAGATTAGTTTGCTGCCCTTTCCTTATATTCAATATACACTTGTCCCTCCCCATTTGTGGACTTGGGGGGTTGCAGACTGCCAGAAATAGTGCAAATTGAGTCCACTTTTAGGGTTAGGGTTAGTGCTAGGGAATCATGGGAATTGTATTTTTTTCTGAGACAATGAGCCTTCTCTGTCAGAGAGCTCTGGTGCCACAATAAAATACAGTTCCCATGATTCCCTAACCCTAACCCTAAAAGTGGACTCAATTTGCACTATTTCTGGCAGTCTGCAACCCCCCTTAGAGTCCGCGATCTGACTCCTTCACGGATGGCAAGCGGGGACAGACTAAATGGTGTGCATGGATGAGGCGCTTGTGCAGCACTGTGTGCAGGAGCATGTGCCTATTTTAACCAATGGGCTTTGAATATTTGCAGTTTTTCCAATTCATGGGGGGTATGTGTCTGGAATGGATCACCCCACAAATTAGGAGTTCCTTTAGCAGCTTACTCATCCTACCTTCTGGTAGGCTCATCCCTGTTATAATAAGAAGTGGCAACTGGAAACTATGGCCAAGATACATCGTTGCTTAAG